TCCTTTCTGCTTGAAATTTCTTTTTTGAAGCCAAAATATACTTTTTAAGTTGTTTAGACTATAAAACAGATAAATTGGGGAAAAAACTATAAGTAATTAGAAGGGGTACAAATGTGGAAAACGTTTTCTGTGACACCAAATTAAATAGAACGTCACCGAAACGTTCTGCACATGGTAAACTAATCTAAATAAGGCGAGGCCGCCAACTCACAGTCGTCATGAGCCGTCACGCAATGCAAACAAAACATTCTGAACACCCTCCCCCCATTTAAGTGTCTAACAGCTTAAATGTCGTCTTGTTGAGTAATGTTCCTAATGCAATCCCTAGCAATCTGTTTGGACACTCTGGTTGCACTCTTGGAACGAATGGTTCTGCTTGCGGGTTCGGTTTCCAGTGCGGATCTTCTCCCCCGATCTCTAGGTCACACACGAGTTGTAAAGGTCGCTCCACCACATAACCGTTCCCTTGCTTCAGCTTCAAACCACGCACTATCCCATCCTTGCCGGAAATTTTGCTTACTACTCGTCCCAGCTTCCACAGGGCCTTGTCCTTCGTATCGCCTTTCAGCAACACTACCGCTCCTATGTTTGGTGTCTTATCAATGTTCCCAGTGGAGCCATCTCCCGGTGGTCAAAAATGTTTTCCCGTTGTCACTTGCCATGGTCTGAGGGCATGGTCTTCTGGCAACAAACTCCTTCAGGGCTCTTTGAAACTCAGTGGCAGTGAGATCACGGCAAAGCTTTAGGTGCACTGCTCGAGTGGTGGCACAGGTAAATAGAGCGACGTAAGCCTTCGCAGTTGTGGACTGCTTAATCTTATAGTACATTGGTCCGGCGAAGTCTACTCCTGTGACAGCGAAAGGATCTGACAGTTCAGTTCTGAAGACTGGTAACAGAGAGTCTGAAGTGTATGAGGTGGTCAGTGGCTTCTTACGGTAACGTCGGCAAATTGTACAGTTGTGAATAACTTTCTTTGTCAGCGATCGCAGTTTCGGCGTCCAAAAGTTCTCTCGCATGCAGCACAAGGTTGCGGAGACTCCCCCATGCAAGGTCTGCTCATGGACATGTCGAACGATCAAAGTTGCCAACTTGCTATCGCGGGGTAGAAACACTGGGTTGTAGTGTTGAACTCTGCCTGCACATCTGAAGTTCCCTCCTTCATCCTTCCTCAAACCCACATCTGATTTTTAATGATTGGGACGTTTGTAGCCGAGTGATCCAAAACTTCTCTGCAGCCTCGAATTCCTTCATCGTTAATGGTCCTCTCTGCTACTCAGACTTTCTACAGTTGTCAATAAACCGTTTCACGAATGCAGTTACTCTCAGGAGCTTCCAATATCATGCATACTTGTGGAGAAGTGGATCTGTTGTCTCATTCTGTTCTTCTTCCTTTGCAAACAGTTGTTTCTCTAACTTTGGCTTTACGGTCTCTCTTGCAGTCTCAGAGGTTCCTGCTACTTCAGGTTGTTGCGACCACTTGTCTGGGCTACTTAGCCACTCTGGTCCTTCGAACCACAGGTTACCCATCTTTCTGGGCTCAACTCCTCTGCTCCCTTGGTCGCTGGGGTTGTCGTCAGTCGGTACATGATGCTACTGTATATACCCTTTCTCTTGAATGGCTTTGGTTCTGTTCCGCACGAACTGAGACCAGGTCCCTTGACCCTTAATCCAGTACAGAACTGTGGTGCTGTCAACCCAGCAGTGATAGTCATCAATTGGCTGATCTCTCAAGATACAAATGAATAAAGGCTGATAGTTTCAAAAGAAACTGTTTGGGGCTGCGTCGGTGGGAGTAACGAAATAATTTGGATATATCAACAAAGTTGAAATGGTAAATTGGCCACTTTAATGATTACAAAAGCTGACGTTTCGAGCGTTAGCCCTTCGTCGGAGCGAATAGAGGAATTGTGGGTTGTGTGTGCTTTTAAAGGCAGAAAATGGAGCTACGTTATTGGTGGGAGCATGGCAACGAGAAAAACATGAATAAATTAGTGGAATGAAAAGCGTTCGTTGATCCCTGTGGGATTTAGACTGCCGGTTTGAAAGATGAGCTTTTGTTCAAGATTTTTACGGCTTTCCGTGCCACCTAAGTGCAAGGAAAGACCGCAGATTGCCATATGTTGCTTAGAATGATTAGGTAAATTAAAATGTCTAGCGACTGGTTTCGATGTGTCCTTGTCATTCCTTTCCACGTCTCGAAGGTGTTCTCGGAATCGGTCACCTAGTCTTCTGCCTGTTTCGCCGATGTATATCTTTTTGCAATAAGTGCAAGTTATGCAATAGATTACATTATGACCAAAAAATTGCCTATGTTTTTGTCGCGTTTGAATGAAATGAGCGGAGGCTGCGAAAAGATAGTGCTTGTCTCTGGATCGTTTTGAAGTAATTTAAAGTTTTTAAGAATGATGGATTTAACTGAGTGGTTGTGAGGGTGAAACGTGAGAGTGAATGGAATGCGGTCGGAATCTTCCTTATGCGACGTTTGTAGTGCTGAATGTCGATCAATAAGTTGAGCGCGGTGGTAACCCGCTTGAACGACGGAAACAGGGTAACCACGTTTGTCGAAGAACTGGCACATTGACTCTGATTTGTGGTGAAAATCAGAGTCATCACTACATAAACGAAGAAGTCGACGAAGTCTTGATCTCTCAAGACTTCCTTTACATGGTTTACGAGCCTACTCAACGTGTGTGCTGCGATGAGTTCCAACAGTGGAATTGACAAGCCTCTTGGTGCTATCCTCGACTTTGCTACAAGCAGGTTCTGTTGAACTGCTGAGGTGGTGTGGAAGGCTAGTGTGTACACAGCAGCTGAGACGGCCACCTTGCTTGCATCTGCAAAACCATGTAGAACAATTTTTGTTACACGATTGTTTACGACACTGCGTGGAATGCTTATCCAGGGGCGTTCTGCCATTCCCTTCAACCACTTCTTCCAAGGTTTCTGGAGGTCATCGGGCAGTTCCTCAAGCCACCTCAGTTTCCGCAAGCACGCTTGGCTATACAGGACCTTTCCTGTAATGATAACTGGGGCTGAAATCGCCAACAAGTCAAAGATACCATTGATGGCAGACAGCATCTTCCTCTTCGCCCATTTGCTGTCATCGACTTCCTTCAACGGTTTCCTGAAACCGATCTCGAGCCTGTCTTCAGTCTTTTTCCACGATACCCCAAGTATCTTTGCATAAGAAGGACTCACTGTAGATGCTAATGTATCGCCACTGTCATTAAGTGGTGCCTCTACCTCTGGGACGTTTCTGTGCCACTTGTGGAGCTGAAAGCCGCCCTCCTTCACTATCTTGATTGCTTCTCCCTTAAACTTCAACAATTCTTCCTTCTGTCCGCCACCTGATTGAATGACGTCTACGTACGTGTTCTTCAACAACTCATCTGTAGTAGTAGGATACTTCTACAGATACTGGCTTACATGCTTCTGAAGTGTAGCCCCCAGAATGTATGGGCTCGGCCCTGATCCAAATACTACTCTCGTAAAGCGATACTGCAGAACAGTTGTTGAGTTAAGATTCTCGTACCATAGGAGAAGTAGCGCATCTCTGTCCTTAGATCCACTTTAATTTGGAGAAAGGCCTTCTGTTTGTCACCTGTGATACACAGAAAGTTAAGACGGTTCCCTAGAAGGATGTCAAAGATCATGGGCTGAAGGGGGGTCCAACTTCCAAACAGTCATTCAGTGATGGCGCTTGAGAGTCTGGCTTTGCTGAGCAATCATACACTATCCTCATTTTAGTAGATTGTGCCTGGTCACGAATGACAGGTTGGTGGGGAATGTAATGAATGACCTCCCCCGTGGGAACTTCTGGTACTAGTTCCAAGATCCCCTGCTCTAACTGTTGTTCCATTACTTCGTGGTACTCATCGAGCCTCTGCATTCTCTCCAGTTTTCTTGTTGTGCTTCTCAGCCTTCCCATAGAAAGTTCCTTGTTTGTGGGTAAATGAGCATGGTCTGGTTTCCATGGCAACCTTGTTGAATAGGTTCCATCTTCTAATCGCTGCAAATTGGTCCACAAACTCTGCATGGAATGGTTCCTGTGCGTTTACCACATCTGTTAATCCAAGTACTTCCTGAGAACACATTTGCACAAATTCATCTTGACTAGAATTTAAGAAGAAACCTTTCTCTTCTCCAGTGTTTGGCAAGACAGATCTTCCGGCGATCACCCACCCTAACATGGTGAACTCGGCCCCAGGGTCGATGTCTGGGTTTGATCCGAGAACTGCAGGCTCAGTCGATTTTATCCTTTGAATGTCAGCAGCTCCTAGGATGTACGGGCAATTTCTCTGCCGTTGCTGCTTCCTCGCTGAAAACTAGCCTCCTGATGCGACTATTCTTCAGTTTCAACTCTGGGATTCTTGGATTTGGAAGGTAGGTCAAAACAGGCTTCTCCGCGTTGATACATGGCAACTCCATTTCAAAGTCATCATTGGCATCTGATTTCAATGAACTTTATAAATCTCCACTTGTTTGTCTACTGTTCCATACATTTGTTCGATGATTTTCCTCTCAATTCTGTATGGCTTGATGTTCAATTCAGTCAGTAAGTTCGCATTAATGTAAGAGCTACTAGCCTCACTGTCAAGCATGATCGGTGCCCGTACTCCATTAACTTTGGCTATCACAGTTGAATGCAGTGTTGTTTGGCAGTCATTTACACTATAGAACCTGTCATTGAGGCCCAGTGAGGTAAAGGCAGTGTTGCTAGGAAGCGTTGTATTGAGTCGATCACAGATGGATGTGTGATGTCTGCCGTTGCACTTTCTGCATACTCTAAATCTGCACTAGGCTGCTGCATGCCCGAACCTTGCGCATTTAAAGCACAGCCTGTTGCTCTTCAGAAACTCTCTTCTGCAGGCTACCTCTAGAACCTTTGTACACTCCAAACTGCGATGACTATGTGAACTGCAGTAGACACAAGTGGGCATTTGTTGTTGTCGAGGCTGCCGAGAATTAGAACCAGACATAAGCAATTTATCTCCCCTCCTCTAGTGACTTCCTTGATTTGTCAGTGGTTTCTTGACTTCATTGGAAGGGGTGAGTGACTCTGATAGGGGATTTCTGTCTGTGTATTTCCGCAGATTTTCCACCAGCTCCTCCAACCCCCATTCCTCCCATTTGTCATCCTTTTGCACCATTGCCTCTCTTACAGGCCCCAATTTATCCATAATGTTGTAAACATAGCTTTGTGCACCCTGTAGTTTCTTCATGGTGGCAAGTGTTCTTACGGTTCTAGACAGCTGGCCATAAAAGTCATGAATGTCTTTGATTCTGCTGACACTTGTGATGTTTGGCAAAGACTCCAAATCCTTAATTAAAGCCTTGTGTACCTTAACGTCCTTTCCAAAGGTCATCTCGAAAGTCTTCTTTGCTTCAAGATATCCCTCTATAGTGTGTGGTAGGCCAAGTATGCAATTCTTGGGTTCCCCCTGCACCAACTCTAACAAATAGTTAAATTTACTAATCTCCGAAATCTTCGAACTATCGACTTCCACGACGAGCTGATTCCAAAATCTGAACCAATTCTTACAGTCCCCTCTGAAAGGTGGGATGGTGTATTCCTGTAATTTAACGGCCTGAGGCTTGGAGTTTTCATGTTCGGCTCGTTTTTCCTCTAACATAATTTCCAGCTCAAGTTTCTTTTTCAACCAATCTTCCTCGCGTTTGTTTGTCTCTTGTCTTTCCAATTCCACTAACTCTTGTTTCAAGCTACTTCTTAATTCACGAATAGGGATTAAATCGTCCTTACTGGCTTCCGACCAGGCTCTCACCTGTTCAAAGGTCTTCTCGTCTTCCAACGTGGCGTCTTTCACTTCGTTCGCTGCCGTTTCCATTGTCTTGCTTACTTCGCAAATCTTGTCGTAGGCCAACTGCAAATCCTCTTTCGCACCCGTACCCAGCTTTTCCTTGATCTCACCCATATAATAAGTGGTCTTTTACCGTTCCTTCGCGTAGCGCTGCTCAGCAATATCTACCATGTTTGTGTTCTGTGCTCTTTCCACGTGCACCCCCAAAATTCAGCCGATGTTTTAAAGGTTTTTATGCAATTTTTTTGCAATTTTCTACGACACCAAATTAATACATATGGTGAACGATCCTCGCAGTGGATAG